CTTCATTGCCTTCAAGTGGTTTTTAATTTATTTTTATTTAAATTAGTAACAAGTTTGCTTCACGTGACAACCCCAACTCCCTCTCCCTCCTCTCCTCCCCCAACCCCCACCAACCCCCAAAATCCACCCCATGCCCCCTCAGCTCCCCAGGCAGGGCCTAGGCCCTCCCACATGTGTCCAGATGGAGAGAGCATCCCTCCATGTGGAATGGACTCCCAAAGTCCATTCTTCTGCCAGGGATAAATACTGATCTACTACCTGAGGCCCCATAGATTGCTGAGGCCTCTTCACTGACATCCAGGTTCAGTGGATCTGGATCAGCCCCATGTTGGCCTCTCAGCCCTCAGTCTGGGGTCACTAAGTTCCTGCTTGTTCAAGTCAGCTGTTTCTGTGGGTTTTGCCAGCCTGGTCTTAACCCCTTGACTCATCACTCCACCCACTCTGCAACTGGATTCCAGGAGTTCATTTCAGTGTTTAGCTGTGGATGTCTGCCTCTGCTTCCTTCAGCCACTGGATAAAGACTCTAGGATGGCATGTACATGTTTGTTTGTTTGTTTTTAATATATAATGATCTTCTAGTCCAGTATTTTCCTTTAGTAGAGATACTCCCTTAGGAGAAATAATAGAGATAACAAGTAGTTAGAACCATATGGATCAGTTGATTTTCTATTTTGCTATTAATATTTTTAAATTTTTGAATTAAAATATAACACCTCTCTTCACTTGTCTTCCTGCAGCCTTTCCCATATATTCTCCTTATAGCCCCTTCTATGCCCCACTATCACTCCCTCTCAGATTGATAGCTTCTTTTCCTTTGACCGTAACTACACACACACATATATATGAACATACATATGATTAAATATATCCTACTGAGACTGTTTAGTTTTGCTTGTATGTATGTGATTTAAGGGCTCACTGCTTTGTATTGGATAACAAATTAGTGCTCTCATCCCTGAAAGAGGCTAATTCTCCCTCTCTCAGCAGACATCATTTGCCTATAGTTCTTTGTCTAGGAATAGGATCATGATGTATTCATCTATTCCACATTAGCATGTCTATTATTTTTCTCACTGGTCAGGTCTTACTTATGCCAAAATATTGTTGAGATTTCATGGATGTAGCTTCCCTGTCATTTCTAAGAGTGTCAATTTCATAGCAGTTTTCTTGTTTTTTTTTTTTTTTCATAATTAGGGTGACTTTTTCCATTTTTTTATTTAAATTAGAAACAAGATTGTTTTACATGTCAATCCAAGTTCCTCTACCTCCCCTCCTCCCCTGCCCCCCATTAACACCCTACCTATCCCATACCATTTCTGCTCCCCAGGGAGGGTGATGATGCTTTCGATGGGGAGGTCTTCAGAGTCTGTCATATCCTTTGTGATAGGTCCTAGGCCCACCCCCTGTGTCTAGGCTCAGGGAGGATCCCTCCATGTGGGATGGGCTCCAAAATTCCATTCCTATATTAGGGATAAGTACTGATCCACTACAAGAAGCCTTATAGATGCATACCTTCACACATGTCTTTGTACACACAGGAAAGCACACATGTACAAGCAAACACATTTGGCAAGAATGGTTGATACCAAGTCAAGTAGAAAATCTGTCATTGATTGCTGGAAATTGAAAGAAAAGTCTTCACATTTTAATTTGTTGAGGCAACCAGGAAAAGATTTGTCTTAAAAGAAATAATGATTGAAAATGTGGTAGAAGTAAAATTTGTTAATTTGGTGTGACATATATTGATTGATTTAATCATTATTGAATGTTAATATGTCGAAATTAATTTCTGAGAAAAATAATATTGACTAAGAAAGAGAATAAAATAGTTAGTTATGCTTAACTATTAACTATTTACCCACTGGGAAATTTCATTGGTTTGGCATCATTTTGAACATTTGTAGGTCTTGATATTTTTTCCTCCAAGACAAGGTTTCTTTGTGTAGTCCTGTCTGTCCTACAACTCTCTCCATAGACCAGGCTGGTCTCAAACTCAGAGAACTGCTTTCCTCTGCGTCCTGAGTGCTAGGAATGATGGCATGCACCACCACTGCCTAAGTTTGTGTTAGCATATTTTGTAAGCTTGAAGTCAGGTTCATCCTAATTTCAAGGATAATTATGTTACTAAAATTGTGATGTGATAATAGTAAACCGGTATTTTAATATAGCTATAAAACTCTGCAAACTTAAAATAAATAAGTACTTTCAAAAGTGGTTATTTATTAATACCAAATATACATGATTTATTTGAAATTATGATATTCTACTCAATAAAACAGAAGATATGAGGATATTACTGATTTGTGTCATCTTTAATATTTTAGTGGTTGACTTTCCTTGGGCAATCAAATAAGATACAGTGATTATTTTTTAAAAATGGATAGGTGAATAGAGAAAAATAATCCAATATAATTGCAATAAATTTTCATAAAATATTAAGCTTAGATTCCAATTAACCATGGGTTTGCTGTATTGCCAACAACAACTACTTCTACTAATTAAAATATTGCTAAACATGAACAATGTTTAAAAATGACTGAGATAAAATTCAACCATGCTTCTATATCTTTTGTTTGACTCAGTGTGATTGACTGCCACGATAACTACCTTAGTCAAGTTGCAAAACTAATCTGTAAAGGAAGAACATTAATGAATCCCGTTGCTTGCTGGACTTCAGGAACACATAATGATAAGAGCTATTCTTCTGGGCAATGACTGCAGTGCCAAGGAAAGAAAAGCCATTAATCAGAGTATGAATTTGCAGAAAGAACTGGAAGCTATGCAACATTATTGGTATCCTAATTACTGATTATCTCCAGCAACTGCTTAACAAGAGGAGAGACTTTCAGTTTACAAGTGATACAAGAACTCACTGGATTTAATAATGCTGAATCCGTTTCTGCATCTCACATAAAGTGCAAAGCAGCAGAATTTTAAAGCATGTAAACACATCTGCAGCATGAACAATTTCAGCGTCTTCTTCAGGTGCCTTTAAAATCAATTCCAAACACATTAACATTATGTTTTGAGCTGATATTATAGTTGAGAATAGAAGCATGAATATGACTGGACTCTGAATGTATTAACCACTGTCAGCCTCTTTTCTTTGCATTTTTTCAGAATTAAATTTTCAATAAAGTTCTTCAAAGCTAACTCCTTTGTTCTGCTTATGCTAGCTCCCCTACCTTTTACTTAACATTTGATGTAAATTTTATTAGTTTCATAACTCAGGAAGTACTACAAGAAATGACAGATATTATTTCAATCTGAGTTAGAAATAAAAAGGGAGAGACTGTGTTTACTAATATTGCTACCAACTATGATTTGTATATCTAAACAGTCTAATATTGAGCTCCATAAGCTCTAATTCTTAGTGATTTTTCTCTGCCTATACACACAAAGGCTAGATGCATGATACTCTTTATTTAGTGCCCTGAGGAAAAAAATTAAATATTTATTAAAACTATGTATTTTTCCTTAATAACAAATTCAATAAACAAGTGATTTGATTAATGTATATTAGTATTTCTTTTGTAAAATATATGGATTACTTTGTAGCTTGAAGGCAATTTTAGGCAGAGTTTTTTGCAAGAGGAAGTCACATTTGTTCTGGACTTATAGATTTTAGGGGAAAAAAGAAAAAAAATGGATCTTGACAAACACTAAAACCTTCTGTGTAAGTGTCCTTGAACAAGTCCTCCAACTCCTTTCAAACATATGTTTTTTTATCTCAAAACTCGGTTTAAATTATAGTTAAAATGGAGATATAGCAAGTGTGCAACTGTGGAATGTAGAGAAATAAATCCATATACAACATGGAGTTGTGTACAACATTATGCCTTAGATAAAATAATCAGAATTGGCTAACAAAATTTTTTGGAGGGCTTCCCCCATTGTCTTCCATTTCTTCAACATTGTGCTCTCTGCACAGAGCTAAACATGAATATATACAGTAATTTTGTAGATATGTTTCAAGTGACTTTACATATTTAAATGAAATGCTCTTTTCTTCCAATAACTGGAGAAAGAGTGGTGTATTAGTTCATTATTTGTGTGGGGGGTGGTTCTTATTCAATATTTAGTTTTGTAAAACAGCAGAAAACAAAAGGAATACTAATACAAGTTATTAGTACTCATCATCCCACTTATTAACAATATGATTTTGACCCAGTTATCAATTCTGACCTGGGTTTAAAAGTTTCATAAAATAGATATGACTAAATTTTTAATGTGGATGTGAGGGTGACATGAGAGCATTTTCACTGACTAGTTATGTTCATCTATGAAAATCCCAACTACAGTGTAATTTTTAGCATAGACATGCCCTGTCAGGAGGGCATTAATATTAAGCATTATCAGAAAGGGAGGGCTCTGATCCCATAATTAATACAAAAGTTCATTCCATTATATGTATTCTATATTTTATATTTTGCTTTCAGATAACAGATGAGAAGTTGGGAAGAGACATCTTCCTTTAAAAATGCAGCTCAAGTACCTGGTTTTTCTTTTTGTCATTTTGAGTTCATTTTAGCAATAGATGTAGAGAAAAATCTGTAACAGTGAACAACAGTCAAGTTGCTTACATTCTCTATATCTAGAAAGTAGAGAGAATTAAATGCATGTATTTTTTATTGCTCAGTGCTTGAGGTCCTTTCGTTCATTTATTTAAAATATATGAGCTAAATTCTTATGTCAATTAAACATTAGGGAAGTTCGGTCTGAATGTAGTTGCATGATACAAGTATCTTACCACATAGAACCCTCAGAAGGACCATTGCTATGCTTATAATGAGTCAAACATTTGTTGAATTATATACTTTTGATATGAAAACTGCACTTTGTTTCTTCAAATTAGAATACATTTGATGACTCTATCTAGCATCTTTGTCATCCAGTACATTATATCAAAGAATTTGTATGTACCTCAATTTAATTATTTCTTAATTTATATTTGATTCATTACTTAGTATTGACTATCCACAGTGTACCCTATGGGTAAGGGGATAAAGAAAGGGAAATAGCTGCAATCTCAAGAAAATTGTTGACATATCTATAGGATGACCTATATAATATACACTAAACAAACAAATAAAACGTAAAACAGGTGGATAGGGAGACAAAGCATTAGCTACAGTAAGATAGAAAACAATTGTACAAGGAGAAAAATCAAAACTGGTTTGAATTAAAAAGAATTATAAAATAAGTTATAAGACTTCTCTGTAATGTTAAAAGGTTAGGAATTTCAAATGTGGCAAATAAGCTCATTTTGTTCTAGATGAAAGTATAACAAACAAAAATTGTACTAATGCTATTTTAAACTTGCATTCATTTTAAGATTTTTTTCATCATTATGATAGAATTTTGATTTTCTAGCTAAGAATAAATGTTTTGATTAATTATAACAAATATCTACTGTTAATCACATAATAAAATGGAGATTAAATACAGTATTTATACAATTATATTATTTGGGGAAAAATATGAGATGTGCTGATATGAGTATCTACATGTGTGTCATGCATTTAATGAATCACAACTTAAATGCTATGGAGAGATGTGTGTTTGTGTCCTAAATGAGATTTAAAGGTTGTCCAAGTCTTTTCCAGTTAATGAATGACATTCCATCCATATTCGATATTTAAGATTATTCAAGATTATTCACTTTCCATCACTCTTTGTTGCTTCACTTAAGAAAGGAGGAGCTTTAGTTATATTAAACAATATCATATAATTAATGCATAATTTCAAAACATTTCCTCCCAGTGGAGAGATTTATATGGCACCAGACTGGTCACCGGTCAAGTGAGAAGGGAGATGGTATAAAAGGGTAGCAAATTAAATATTTCATTTTTTGCTTGGGAAATGAAAACTGTGAATCACTAATGGTCATAGTGTAGATATCAACCAATCTTAGGGTATGCAGACACAAAAGAAACATCTACAGAAAATAAACAAACAAACAAAAAACCTACTACATATAAGATGCAGAGACCTTCACAGAATGGGGAAAGGTTGTAAGAGTCTCCAGAGATCTACAAGGATGATACCAACTAACAATCTAAGCAACAGTGGAGAGGCTACCTTAAAAGTCCTCCCTGATAATGAGATTGATGACTACCTTATATGCCACCCTAGAGCCTTCATTCAGCAGCTGATAGAAGTAGAAGCAGACACCCACAGTTAAAAACTGAGCTGAAATGGAATCCAGATGCAGAGAAGGAGTAGTGATGAGCAAAGGAGTCAAGACCAGGCTGGGGAAACCCACAGAAACAGCTGAACTAAAGAAGTGGGAGCTCAAGGTCCCCAGACTGATAACTGTGGCCTCTTGTGGTAGATCAGTACTTATCCCTAGCATAGGAATGGACTTTGGGAGCCCATTCCCTATAGAGGGATATTCCCTCGACCTAGACACATGGCAGAGGGCCTAGGCCCTATCCCAAAGGATGTGTGACAGACTCTGAAGATCCCCCATGGAAAGCCTCACCTTCCCTTGGGAGCAGAAAGGGTATGGGATAGGTAGGGTATTAATGACTGGTCACCGGTCAAGTGAGAAGGGAGATGGTATAAAAGGGTAGCAAATTAAATATTTCATTTTTTGCTTGGGAAATGAAAACTGTGAATCACTAATGGTCATAGTGTGGATATCAACCAATCTTAGGGTATGCAGACACAAAAGAAACATCTACAGAAAATAAACAAACAAACAAAAAACCTACTACATATAAGATGCAGAGACCTTCACAGAATGGGGAAAGGTTGTAAGAGTCTCCAGAGATCTACAAGGATGATACCAACTAACAATCTAAGCAACAGTGGAGAGGCTACCTTAAAAGTCCTCCCTGATAATGAGATTGATGACTACCTTATATGCCACCCTAGAGCCTTCATTCAGCAGCTGATAGAAGTAGAAGCAGACACCCACAGTTAAAAACTGAGCTGAAATGGAATCCAGATGCAGAGAAGGAGTAGTGATGAGCAAAGGAGTCAAGACCAGGCTGGGGAAACCCACAGAAACAGCTGAACTAAAGAAGTGGGAGCTCAAGGTCCCCAGACTGATAACTGTGGCCTCTTGTGGTAGATCAGTACTTATCCCTAGCATAGGAATGGATTTTGGGAGCCCATTCCCTATAGAGGGATATTCCCTCGACCTAGACACATGGCAGAGGGCCTAGGCCCTATCCCAAAGGATGTGTGACAGACTCTGAAGATCCCCCATGGAAAGCCTCACCTTCCCTTGGGAGCAGAAAGGGTATGGGATAGGTAGGGTATTAATGGGGGGCAGGGTAGGAGGGGATGGAGAGGGAAGTGGGATTAACATGTAAAACAGTCTTATTTCTTATTTAAATTTAAAAATGGAGAAAAAATTTAAAAATGTAACTTCAACAGACCATTAAAGAAAAATGTAAATATGAAAAAGAAGAAAATGTCATACCTACATAACTTGAAAAGCTACACAAAACTTCCCTCAGACATTAACTATTCAAAAACCAGAACCTTAATAGTTGCCCCAAAATTTGAAGATTCCTTTAAATAAATGTAATTTTAAAAATTAAACACATATGCACAAGATAAAATAAATTGATAAACACCAAAATGTTCTATTAATCATTAAGATTTGATATAATACTAATCAAAAGCTTCAGTTTAGTAAAGAACTGATTCACAGAATCCATGAAAACACCAACAATATATTTGTGTGTGTGCATGTAAGTTTTACAATCTGTTTAATGTCTTTACTAATTCATAGGGAAATTAAGTGGACTAAGGATATACAGCACAATAATGAAGAAGAACAATTCACAACACAAATTATTAAATATAAAGATATATTGTAAAGCTTTAGTAATTGAAACTGAAGCTTTTGGTTCAAGAATGTTTTATATTAACTAACAGATCATGAAAATGCATTCTTATGTTGATATTGCACTGCAAATGGGGAAAGTATAAACAGCAAACAATGTTGCAATATTTAAGTACATGTACTAATTCCCTGTCTCACAATAAAAAAATTAAATTGCGTGTGAATTTTTTATAATGGCGAGAATGTAGAGCACTATGGCTGTACACAATAGTGGTCACAATAAGAGTAATAATTACTGTGTGAATACGAAATACTTTAAAACAAAATCGTCATAAAATGTAATTGAGAGTGCAAGTCAAAGAAATATATAAAGTATTATCAAAATATGTTTCCACAAATGATATAAAGAAATGGGGGAGAATGTCATTTGGATAGAAAGTAGACTAAGGCAAATGTTTTGTTTGGCTTTGCTTGCTATTGGGGTGGGTTGAAGAATGACAGTTTCATTTTGGTGCAATTCACATACAAATTGTTTATCTTTTATGTTGTTCAGTTTTATTATTTATGAGTAAATGTTCTTCATATCAAAGCATTTTAACTATAGATATAGACTATAAAAGTTATGAAATTGTGATCAAATATTTGGAATGTGAAAAACGAAATCAGAATGAAAAAGGTTAATTCAATTATATGTGATTATATGTACATGTTTATGT